ACGATAATTCGAACCAAATTTGAGCTTTAAATGAAAATATAGTTGAGCATAAATAAGGTTTGATTATAATTGTGTAGTGTCAATCTAATTAAATACAAATAAATCTAATCGAATCGAGTTTGAGACTGCATGAATCAATATCTAGTCGTACAAACATAAATTTAGTAAAATTAATTTACCTATTATGTTACATTAGTTCTAGAAATAAATTCAATCAATAAACCTCAAAGCATCTTTTACGATTTGATTAGTTAATTTTATTTGAATATCGAATATCATGAAAGTTAGTTGCATAACTTTTAATAGAATATCATAATATTTTTAGAACAATTAAAACAAATTAAATTAATCTGTTCAAGTTTAAAGTTCTTAATAATACTATATATGTACATAAATAGGATTCTAATAGTCAACTAAGGTTTTATCCACGATAGAAAATGCTTTTCGAAATGAATCTCTACGAAATGCGAATCTTAATCGGACTATAACAGATGAAAAATCAAAAGAATAGAATTCAAATACGAAATGTATAAATTTGTTGGGCAATATTGTCACCTTTTCGAAACCTTATGGACCAAAATTGTAATTAAAACCTTTTATTCACAGTCGCCGCCGTCACCATTCTATAATACCAAATTTTCTTCAACTCAGCAACAATGGCTTCCACAACAATGGCGAAAATCAATGAAGACCAAGTTCGCAAAGCAGTGAAAGCTCTTCTCAAATGGAAAAAGCTTCAATCCAAGAAAACCCTTGAACTGCAAAACCTCAATTCACTATCAGATGAAGAAGAAAACGAAGAAGATGAAGTAGTAGATGATAATTTCATCTATCTTCAATTAACTCTGAAGAAAATCCCACCAAAAGAACTCACAACCCCTCACAAAATCACCCTCCCCAACCCCTTTTTCCACCCACTTGAATCTTTCGCTAATATTTGTCTCATCATTGACGACAGACCCAGAAAATCCCACAACTCAAAAACCAAACTTGATGTTGAAACAGTGCAGAAAAAGCTGAAATCTGAAGGAATTTCAATTACGAAAGTTTTGAAGTTTACCAAGTTGAAGTCTGAGTACAAATCTTTTGATGCGAAGCTGGATTTGTACGGTTCATATGAACTGTTTTTGGCTGATAAAAGAGTGATGAATTTGCTTCCGGGTTTATTAGGTAAGCAGTTTTACAAGAAGAAGAGGAAAGTACCTGTGCCAGTTGATTTGAGGGGGAATAGTAATTGGAAGGAGGAGATAGAAAGAGCGTGTTCGTCGACTTTGTTGTGTTTAGGGAGTGGAACATGTAGTGTTTTGAAGATTGGGAGAGGAGGGATGGAGAATGGTGAAGTTATGGAGAATGTATTAGCTGCCATTGATGGAATTGTTCAGTTTGTTCCTAAGAAATTGAATGGTGTTAGAGCTTTTCATTTGAAGTTTAGTGATTCATTGGCATTGCCTGTTTATGAGGATTTCCCTGATCAAAGTTCAAAACAATGAGAAGAAAAAGAAGTAGAGAAAGTGAGATCTTGCTCTTCGAAAGATTTTTCGAGCTAGAAGTTCGCGTAAGGAGTTGACGCATAGGTAAATTTGGATGAAGTGTTTCCATTTTTGTTCTTACTAGATAGTGAATACAACAATCTGTTCTTGTTCCTTTTATTGTCTGATTTGATCTAGTGTTGTTTCAAGTGGGAAATTCTAATGTTATACTTCTTGGTAGTTCAATTTATGATGCAAGTGAGTGTGTCAATCATCACATGCTTGAAAGGCCAGTGTTTCATCCTTTTTCATTTTAGCTACTTGTTTTGTGTATTAAACTTACAACTATTTCTTAACATTGCTATCATGGGAGAATTATGCTTTAATGTCTTCAGCAGTTATACACTTCTGTTTTACAATACTCTAAGCACAGATAATTTTCTTTTGGATTCTGCGAAGAACAACTATCTGTTGTTTTATGATATTGTATATATAGATTGGTTACTGTTTTTTAGAAAACAGTAACCAGTGCAATCTAGTCCAACAAGGAATTATCAGATCAACCAATCACCTTAAACAAATTTCAATTGCCTGAAGAGCTTTGAAAGTTGCTTTCAGTAGCAAGATATATAGTAATCTTGTGATTGATGCAGTTAGTTTAACAATTAGTTAATCAATCTTTCCTTTTTCTCATTTCAGTAAATCACTTTCTTCTGTTCTATGTTTCATTTAATCTGAGTAGTGATTTTGTAAATCAAAGTTTATGTCCAGGGCATACCGTTCTTGAAACATAAATAGTTATCTGGAACTGTTTATGTTTACTTAGTGTTTGTGTTGAAAGTACCAATGTCTAACAAGAAATCTATTAATACATTATCTTGGAAAATTAGATCTTTCTAGTCTCTATTGCTCTTCATTTTCATGACCTGAAAAGTCCATTCATAAGTGGCAAGGGCCTTGGGTGAATTACACTTTATTAAGTAGGTGTTTTGTCATCTGTGTCTTTTGAAGCTGGTCTTTTCAGTTTGTTATAATGGGATACTGCTTTGCTCAAGTCTGTCTCCTTGAGCTTTGCTTATATTGCCTGGTATCGAGCACGAATAAAAAATTTGTGGACTGTGATACCAGTGAAATAGTCGAGGTACCAGAATATCTACTTGTGTTGTTTAAAACTGATGAGACTCGAGGTATTTGTTGCTTTAACTTATTTTTTGGTTTTAGGTAACAACATTTTAGTACATTGGCTGTCACGCTTTAGTGCTAGGACAAGTTCCATTTTACTGATATAGTGATGAGGTAATCATTGGTATAGATAATGAAGAATCAGAACATGAGTCAGATACAGAAAAATAAAACATCTAAGGTTCATAGTAGAGCTTTTATGCAGAAATGTTGTTTCTTAGATGGAAGAAATAAGGCCCCTCTCGTTGAAGAATGTGACACAATCATCAAACATCTCTTCGATGGACTTGAATTTCATTCCTAAACCCTCCAGCTTCAACGTGTTGAAATCATAGGAAGGTCGATCCAGTTCCTTAAACCTGAAATAGCAGTCGGCGAATGTGAATCTTCATTAAAATGGTACTACCTTTTTTTCTAGTTTGTATTTATTTGTTTTAAGCAGAAATAACAGATACAGATCCCAAGATTATTAAGCAGTGGAGAGAACACCTCTTTACTATATGCACATACACACACAGACATGCATAATTACCAAGTGTTCACTTTCCTAACTTCTATATATACAGTGATGTATGCAGGATTTTGTGCAAGTGTTATCAACCTATTAGTAGACTTGGCTTGTACTTGAAATTGACACCTCAGTTGTTGGGCTTTTAAGGTGTTACTTCATGTTCTAAAATCTAAATTAGTGTTTACTTTATGTTATTTTGAAGTGGAGCTAACCTATTGTATATATTCAAATGCTTCTCTAAAATCTTAGCAAAGAAATGTCAAATGACAATTCCTGATACAATCTGCCACGACATATATGTAACTTGAGTTTGAGACAAAAGATGCAAATGTACCCACAGCTTATATAATGGATCTGCCTTCCTCTGGTTCTACTAACCTTTTAGGAATAGGTAACGATGGATAGCGTTCTGATAGAACTGAGACAAGTTGATTGTTGTCAAGAACCTTTGAGCTGCAAAGGTACCTCCCGTGAGCACTTGGATGCTCATAGACAAGTATATGGGACAGAGCTACGTCATCTATGTGAACATAACCCATCCTTCCATGGAAATCAAACTTATCTGTCTTTCCTTTAAGCAAACCTAGGACATCATCTGCTGTTGAACATAAATCTGGAGGCAAACTAGGCCCAATGATAAAAGAGGGGAGTAGTGTCACAAGATCAATGTTGTTTTGCTCACAGAATTCCCAAGCAGCCTTCTCAGCCAGCGTCTTTGATAGAACATACCAGATCTTGCATGCACAGAGAAACGATCAGATTATTGTTTGTACTTACCATCCGAATTGATATCACTCTTCTTATTTTGGGAAGTGTTTAAGTGTTGATGCTATTTTCAAGAATCCAAATTCAAGAAAATTTTGAATTTTGAAGTTTAAGGTGGTGTATGTTCTCTGTGATACTATCTTTTCAATTACCACCTCAATATTTTACTTACAGAAGTCAAATCAATATTTTGAACTTCGTGCTCGTCAAGTCCATGATATCAAATCGGAATGTAAGTAGAATATATGTGTTTACCTTGAACTTTTTGCAGAATTCAACAGAGCTCCAAGATGATTCATCCAAGGGTATGTTAGGGTCAATCTCATCTCTTACCCTTACTGTTGAAGAAGATGAGGTCAAAACCACACGTCTCAGTCTTGGATTTTTCTTGCAGGATCTTAACACATTTAAGGTACCATCAACTGCCGGATTCAAGATTTCAACCTGCAGCATGGACAATTAGTTACTTGAAAGTGATTCCCTCCGTTCAATTGATATTGTAATCTTTTCATTTTGAGAAGTTTTGAAATGTCCGACTAGTGTGTTTAGTCAAATATTGTCATATAAAATGAAACAAACGGAAACATTTTGGATACCGTGACATCAAAAGTAGCCTTCCCCAAGACAGGTGAGGCAGTATGAAAAACACCTTCACAGCCCATAATAGCATCATCAAAGCTGCCTTCATCTGTTAGATTAGCCTTCACCAGACGAAGTCTCTCTTTTGCTCCTTGTAGCTTCCATAGATGTCCAACTTTCTTCTGGTTCCCTGATTTTGACATAAAAACTTCAATGCCATGAAACAGATATAAATCTCCATTACTAGTAGCTGTGTTACATGAATTCGTTTGTAGATGTGTGTAACTATCTATACAAACACGTCTTGCTTCTTTTTCCTACTCCAATATTTAGATTATTTAGAATAATTTCCGGGTACTCACTCCCTTATCATACAAATGTATGCAGGGTAAAGCTAAATGTAATGAAGGGGTTTTAAATTACATCGGTGAGGGGAAGGAGAAAGGAAAAGGGATGCTATACAACTGATAGAGTTTGAACCATCCACTTCAATAGTACAAGGCAGGAAGGTCTTCCCTCAACCCCATGAAAGGGATTTGACCGACTCGAAAAGCTTTTTTTCTTTTATTGAATTGATCCACCAGAACAAAAATTCACTTAATTGATACATGTACCACCACCTACCAATTCAATATAAAATTCAAGATATTCCATTGAATCTTCTTGATCTCGCTTAAATTCCCCTCTTCGGAAAATTGCACTGTGCAAATAAGGTAAAAGAACTATTGTGTTTGTGTATATATATTTAGATTGTTGAACCCCCTTGACGTAAGAGAAGCTTTAGTGGGCGTTTCAAGAATTGCTTCAAGTTACAGGTTTGAATCTTTTGGGTGTGGAATTTTTGCATCTTTTTAAGTTCTTTGTTGTAATTTCTGGCTCCGCCATTGAATGTACTAATAAGAGTATGAGTAGTTTCATGTACCTGGATCTCTAACTGTGCCAATGACATTGTAACCAGACAAGAGAAGGCGTTTGATGAGCCATGAAGCTACAAAACCAGATGCACCTGTCACACATACTTTACCCTTGTAATTGCTGTTTTCTTCTTCTACAACATTCTTATCCTCCATTATTTCCATGTTTTACAACTTCTTGGTTACACCATGTTCATACTTTGATGTGTATATATAGGGGAATGTTGAGCCTTCTTGAAGTTGGTCTAAAGAAGGTGAATCATTTCATTTTTGTGGCTCTTTTTACATACATGCAAGCTGCATGACACTAACACCTTATTATGGCTTTAGATTAGCAATAGTAAGCAAATTCTCTTTGTGTGATTTAATAGTAAGTAAATTATTCGTAGTTAGTTTCATGGCCAGGGCATGGTGGAGGTGTTTATACGCCGCTCCGTTCGGTCTGGTTTTATGGGTTGATACCCAATTTCGATCCTACTTACTTCTAAACTAATAATGTATCAGATTATTATCTCTCACAACTATTTATGCTACAACCACTATCTATCATTACTATAAAGAGACTTAGAGTGAAATTTTCCATGAAATAACCAAAACACTGAAAAGTAGGTAATAACATGAAAATTTGAATCAATCTAAGCTTTTACTAGAAGCTTTGGTCTAGTGTCTATAGTTCCATGCTAATGAACTTAAAAAGTTTTGATCATGCAGATCAGAAGGGAAAAGATTTTTCTGGCAGTACTCTGCTAGTTACTGTAGTAGTAATTGGTATTGTACTACCAGGCCAGGGCTTCCAAGAATGGAAGAACAAATAAACGAAGGTTAATGATCAGTCTTCTAGAGCTTAGTACGCTTAGTATTCTTTGATTCTACAGACCAAATAGGAGGGATGATTCTATATTCTTGTTTTTGTGTTTCTTCCGTCTTGACTTCATCTTGTTTCCTGACATCATCTTCCTCGTCCAGGACGTCCTTTGAAAATGCATTAGGATTTGCCTTGATGCAGCTTTGAAGAGCGACAAAGGGACTAACGCAGTCAGAGCCCTACAGTGGTAAATACAAGCTTTTCACATGTTAGTTAGAAGGATGAAAACTAAAAATGGGAACTCAATTTTCATCATTTTCTGTTCAGAAGACAATCTTTTCTTTTCAATGTTGTGTAGATAACAAAGCTTTCTGATCTCGTTTGTTACATTACATCAAAGTCAATTTAACATAAGGGACCAAATTTTTGGACATATCGGAAATAGCCTCTCTACCCTATAAGGTAGGGGTAAGGTTTGCGTACACTCTACCCTCCTCACTCCTCAGATCTCATCTCACTTGTTGGGATTATACTGCGAATGTTTTTGTTGATGTAACTATGAACTCCAAATTCCAAGGCCAAGAATGATCACCAAAGTCTGGTCTTGTCTAGTGGCATTCATACAAGTAACTTCTTCTACATTATGGAGAAAGGAAACTTGAAATTCTCTCAACAGAAGAAAGAAAAGCACCCTCTAGAAACACATTATCTTAAATTTGATCTACCTTTCCAAAAAAGGGATAATCTTAATCGTTTTATCGTGAAATCGACCACCTAAATATGTACAAATCTAGCTGAATAACCTAACCAATATTTACCAGGTTACAACTTATGAGGGCACTTAGTAAGCTGAAGTTCATACAAGAATATCGGCTCGGAGAAATAAAATCAGATGAAACAAGATATATATAACATCTCTCTCTACTGGAGATGAACGCGATAGAGTATAGACAAATGATAAAAACAATAGAAAAAGGAAGGAGCACTCAAACACAGTTACCTTTTCTTCAGCTGTGCTCTTGAGGAAACAGAGGAAAGCGTCTGAGAACTGGTTGCCGCAAGGGCCAGCGCGCAAATGAGCAATGCAAGGACATTCTAGAGCTTTCCGAGCTTTCTCGTCAATGGACTAAAAGTAGAGTTTCAGTTTCTTGAGCACAGATAAGTAACAAAATTTCAACTTTTATTGACCAAGTTTATGATCCGAAAAAACTGAACCAACCTCATTCTCACCGTCTTCACCATATGCTGCAGCTTCTACAAGACGAAAGGAAGAAAATTTGTAGTAAGTTTTAGGAATCTTTTAAAACATAAAAATCTGATTCAAACATCATTACGCAGTAGTCAATGCCGCATAAGTCTTTGTGAATAGCTATCTAGTATATTTACGCTAGAGATCTAATACACAGCTTGATGTTATAGAAAAATAGATATAGATCAACTGCAGTTATGAGCAGTTGTGGAGACGTAGAGCAAGTAGTAGAGGGAGTTACGAGATCAGACTGCAGTGAGAAACCAATACATGAAGATGCGCAATGATAACTAGTCACATGGAAAGCGGAACCAGAGCTTTATCAATTTTCCAATCAGCAAACGAGTAAATTGCAATCACTCAGTTTCATCTCAAACCCAAACTAGTTGATCTTGGCAATGATAATACATGAAAAACATACATTACATAACCAAAAATGGAACTCAAAATTCCTTAATGGATAACAGGAAAACTACATTTCAAGATTATCTTCCCCTTTAAATAACCCCCAACACCAAAATCATCACACAATCAAAAAATTGAAACCAGCACATATGCAACAAACCAGCCCCTTCACTTCCTCTCTCTCCGAACCACCATAGGTGAATCTACATTTAAGTACATGGGTGCGGAATACCACTCTACTTACTACTTCTTTGGGTACAAACTTAATCTATCATATGTATTTTAAATTTAAAATATACAAATGTAGTTCAAAGAATAGATAATAGAGACAAAGTATCAATACCAAATAATTGGCATTAAGGTTAGTAGTTATTAGTATTTAGTACCTTCACAACAGAAATCAATTTAATGATAGATATAGCGTAGAGATAGGTGAAAGATTTAGAGAATCTCAAGTTTTAGATTCCTAATCACAAATTATCAAGTATTGGAGTGAAATGGACATTAGACAGAATGGGTGTTAATAGATAGAGGGGATTCATCAGTCACTTGACTTGTTTGGCATTGAGTTTAAAGTTTAAACTATTGTTATTTCTAAGTGTTATATACATATGTAGCTCGAGCGGAAAGCTCTATAAGCATCCATCTTCACAATACATTTGCACATGTCCACCAATAGCCTCAACTCTTTCCTGATCCCATTAAGGAAAAAGTGAAGGACTTATAGTACAGTTCGGATAACAGGTAAAGCTCGAAGGTTGTTCCCGTCCCTGTCAGGGGAGATGACAACCATCTCTCATTAACAGTGACTTACAGTACAGTTTATTAAGCCATAGAAGTCCTTGATTTGGATTCTTGAAGGAGAAAAATTGTTTTTTTGCAAAATCAAGAAACAGAAAGACTTGAGAGAGGACGGCCAGAAACTTCATCAGAGGTGGCTTTCAGCGGCTTTGACGAAGCACTTTGGAATTGGTTGTCAATAGCTATTGGCTACTTAGGATACTTTCAGTATAGGTCTAATATGCACATTGATGCTATATGAACGGATCTAAAGACAATGTGTTCCTGAGGAATTTGGGATAACAACAAACTCTTATACAGAGGTAATAGTAGAGAAAGATACTATCTTTCATCTATCAACAAAAATAGTGCAGTGAGAAAACAATACATGTAAAAGAGCAGTGATAGGCTGATAGCTAATCACATGGGAAGTAAATTGAAACCTTAAATCATTTCCCCGAACAGCAAATCGTAAAACATCTACAATCAATTAACTTACCTCAATCCCAAAATAGTTGAGGTTGGTTATAACATACATTATATAAGCAAAACAAAACCAAGGATTCCTTAATGGTGATTTTCAAAAAATGAACTTTGGAACAAACTCACCCCCAGAAGTTAGCTCACAATGCGAGTATATTGCTAAGATAATGTAACGAGATAAACAAACTCATTACTTGACCAATATGGGACACTTAACTCCTTCCTCCTCCCCAAGACTGACAATCGGAGCTTGGATAACATACCACGGAAGACCAACATTTCGAAATACAAGACTAGGAATACGTCTAACACTAATACCATGTTAATAAAATAAACTTGGGGCTTAACTCAACTTCAAAAGTTAGCTCATAGGATGATTTCTCAAAAGCTAAAACCATGACAAACAACTCATCCCTCAACCAATACGGAATAACTCAACTTCAAAAGTGAGCTCATAAGATGATTTCTCAAAAGTCAAAACCACGACGAATAACTCATCACTCAACCAAAACGGAATACTTAAACAACGAGTAGCCGTAAAACTACATTTCAAACTGAAAGGAACAGATGCATCCATTTAGGCATTTACCACCTTCACATATACATTAGTCTCCCTCCACCCCCCTCCCCCGCCACCCCCACCCACAACAGCCTCCTCAAATCTCCTCCAAATCCCAGTAGAATGAAAAAAGTTGAAAACTTGTAACTACTTATAGTGAAATTACTAAACATACAAATATGGGGTTCCTGATTATTGAACAAAAGGGGGCAAAAATTCATCCAAAAAAAAAAGAAGAAGAAAAGTGAAGGGGTGAATTGAAGAGTTACCAGCAATCAAAGAATCGAGAGAACGCGGCTGAGAATCATCAACAGATGTAGATTTCGATTGATTATCAATGGCTTCGCTCTGCACTTGTCCCATTTTTTTTTCTCAAGAAATTGCTTCGTCTTTGTTGACGCCTCAAAATATAAAAAGACTTAAGAAAAAATTCAATTGACACTTTAGTACCCCAAGTTTTCTTCAAAGTTGTTTTATACGGACTCGAGTATGAATATTCGACATATTATATATGATTAAATTCGATAAAATCAAAATTTAAAATTTGAGAACGTAGATACGGACGTTGGAATTTGACTTAAAAGAATCAAAATCATAAAATAAAATTGTAATGATATTATAAATTCTGAGAGATATTATATGAAAAACTTATAAAAGTATTATAAATTTTAATCTTTTATTTATCTAGAATAAGCGTTAAACTACGTAAATTAATTGTCAAAAAATATAAAATAATATTTATAAAGAGCGAATACGTCATATTTCACGTCTCTTAAATCTATTTTGATAAATTAAAGTCTCAATTTTTTTGTCATGGATTTTGGCTAATGTTATTAGATGTAGATTGATCGAATTCCACCATTGTTGTGTCAATCCGAGTTCGACAACATAACTAAAGAGTTCATGCACCTCATTATAATAGTCAAGTTTTTTTTTCAAAAATATTTTTTTTATATTATAGTTTATCTTTCTATAAGAACGATACATAAAATTATTCCATATAATATACATTATTATATGATTATAATATTAGATCTAGATAGTTCGGCTAGATATCAATATACGATACTTAAAATTGAAATCGTAAAATATGATTCAGTGTGAAATATACACAGAGAGAAGAAGAGAAGGGAGCGAGAGAGGAGAAAGGCGAGTGAGAGATGAGTATTAATACTTATCATAAGGAATTTGAACAACGACCTCAAATACAGTATCTGGAAGTACCACGTCCACGTAAGAAGGGGGAATCAGAATCGCCTATTCCCTCTCCTTCTAATCTAGCTTCTCTTTCTCAGAATAGATGAGAGGGTCGGGTCGTTCCTTAATTCTTCAAATAAAAGGGAGCCTAAGAGCAACAACAAAGTCGTCTCATGTGACCTATAGGTCACTGGTTTGAGTCGCGGAAGTAAATACTATGCTTGCATTAGAGTAGACTGTCTACATTACACCCCTCCGTCCGAGTGCAGCCCTTCCTTCCCTATATCCTACTAACACAGAATGCTTTCTGCACCAAGCTGCTGTTTTTTGTCCCTTTTCTTATTCTTCAAATCAAAATGGGATTACAGGACCAGAGCAAAGTTATAAACCAAAAAAAAAACTAGTTTTTGTTACATGAGGATCAAATAAAAAACAGTGTAAATATTGCAGCAAATGGTAAAGGAAAGGAAATCAAGATTCTGCGTTAAATTTTGTATATCGAGAACCAGCGATGATGGAATATAGAGATAAAAATTACGTTGGGACGGTGGCTTTGGAGGTGTTCTTTGGCAGGACAATCGAAAAGGAAGAAAGAAACAACCTAAGTTGGAGTTCTACAGGTAGCAATCAGGCAAAACCACAAATCAGCAATGCACTGAAGCAGCAATTCGTTATTCATAGTGGTGGATCGATTACATTGATCTAGTGAAATTACCTTGGTATGGTAGCAGACGGCTCGTGACTAGATTGATTCTGGCAGCTATAATCTGCAAGTTGAAGAATCAAGAAACTAAAACTAGCATAAGTAATAAGCCATGGAAAGATCACTCCTCATGACATGAACAGTACTGCAAGATCATAATGAACTTTAGAAGTCCAAATCTGAAGGAAGCATACTTATTTCCATGAAGATTTCGAAACTGCAAGTGACATTCGATATATTGCAACATAAGTATTGAACAAAATGTCCTCAAGAAAGGCAAATCAAGAATGCTAATCAATTGACAAGTAAGCCATTTCAAAATGGCAACTTTTTAACTATTTTATTTGCTCGGTAATCAACTGATTTCTCAATGATCAATACAACGACGACACATCAAGTGTGATCCCACAAGTAAGATATGGGAAGGGTAGAGTGTACGCAGACCATATACCCCTATCTTGTGTGACAGAGAGGCAATTTCCGATAGACAGCTCAAAAAAACATTTCAAAACATGTTTGAAAAATACAAAGTGAAAGAAGCTCTAACAATTCATTGCACACAAATTCCTACATATCATTTTTCACATAGCATGATGAATTCATATAGTGAAAAGATATATATAGGATTCATACAACTAATACCAAACTCGTTTGGAATTGAGGCATAGTTGATTGATTGATTGATCCATCGATCATCGTGAATTGCTACTAACAAGGCGGGCACCAACTCGATCAAGCTTCTTCACCATAGCCAAAGCCTTCAAGTTCCCTTCCTTCATAAACGCCTCCACCATTCTCTCCCCAATCTCCCTCCCTCTCTCTTCATCATCCGTCACCGCGACCAAAGTAGGTCCAGCTCCGCTTATCGTGCAACCAAATGCCCCAGCCTTCAACGCCGCCTTCTTCACTCCCTCCATCCCAGGAATCAACGGCCCTCTCCTCGGCTCCACAATCTTATCAGACGACAACGCCTTCCCTAAACCCCTCGAATCCCCCTGCAATATCGCAGCCACCAACGCCCCAGCCTGACTACAATTCCATATATGATGCGACATTGTCACCTCCGATGGCAATACCGCCCTCATCTTCTTCGTTGGAGCTTCGAATTCGGGATTCACAAGCACAAAAAACAAATCTTTTTCAAATGGAAACTTCAATGGGATCAATTCCAACGGATCATAACTTCTTATCAACACAAAACCACCCATAATCGAAGGTGCTATATTATCAGCATGATAACCCGAAACCTTCGTTTCCGATTCCAACCCAGCAAGCACAAGATCATCAACACTCAACTTCCGTCCAAAAATCTCATTCACAGCCACCGCCGCCGCCGCAGCACTAGCAGCACTAGACCCAAGTCCACTACCCAACGGCAACCCTTTTTCAAGCGAAATCGATAAACCAACAGACTGTATATTCAACATCTTCATAACAGAAATAGCAGCTATTCCAGCACAGTTCGATAAAGGGTCTTTACTAAGCCTATTTCCAGCACCGGAGATATCAGAAATCGAAACCTCCCCAGCTTTAACATTTGGGTCAACCCGAAGAGTGACAAAATCTCCGACTCCATCAACGGCGCATCCGAGGAAATCAAAACCCGGACCTAGATTAGCAACAGTGGCCGGAGCAAACGACTTGACGGAGGTGAATACGGGTTCGGGTTCGGGTATGGTGATATGGGTTTGGGTTTTGGAGGAGACAGATGAGAGATTGAATCCAAATGAGAAATGGGTATTGATGGGATAAAGAGAAGGAGGATTTGAGAAGCCATTAGAAGTGATGAAGCTGAGTTTCATGGGAGATTGAAAGGTTATAGCCATTGATGTGAAAGTTCAGAGAAGGAGAAGAACAAAGAGAACAAATAGAGAAAAAAAGGATTTTTAGGTATATTTCCATATTCTAAGATTCCTATATAAGTTAAATTTTTCCTAATTTTTTTTATAATATGATATTTGACTAATAATCAAACTTTATAAAAAAAATAGGAGTACCTAATACTTAATATTCGATAAATTTTATTTAGACATGCTGAGTTACAAGTACTAAAAATATAAGCATTGCATCTATTCAATCAAAAATAATATTTAATTTGATCGTTCGAATATAATTTGATTCACACATGATTAAATTTCTATTTAGAATTAAAAGGTATATAAAACTATCAAGTTTGATCGATTTTAGGTCAATACTAGTCCAACCAAGACGATACTTGTCTATTTCATGACGAGCCTAGCTCAACCTGAAGGCTAGTTCAATTTGACTAGTGCGATATAACTTATATCTCATAAAATTAATCAAAATATATAAAAACTGTTTTGAATAACATATTTATCAAATATATTTTTAAAAAAAGTAACAAATATGTCGTATGAATCATTGTAGATATATTTTTTTTAATTTTTTGATCGAGAATAAAGTACTTCTTGACCAAAGCTACTTTGTAATCAAGACCACATATAAATAAAACCTCATCCTATTTTCACTCGATCTATGTATTAATTTTTTTTAAAAAAAAACTATATGTTGAAATAATTTCATTTTTAATTTTGACATATAAATCTTTCAAGATGATTATTAAAAAAAAAATCATTTGTTTTATCTTTTATTTATTCAATTTATTAAAAATACATACTTATTTTATTTTCTTAGGAGGAGTATAAAATAAATTCTTCTTTCTGGGGTTTATGCCTTTTTCCCCCAAAACAGCGAGTGAAGAAGAAAATCCAGTAAACTCTAGAAGAGAAAATCGAACTTCCCCAAATCTTTTGGAACGGAACAGCGATCGGAGCAAAATTGGGTGAGTGGTAGTGAAAGAGCAGTGGAAGAATCAAGAATGGGAAGCCAACCTGCACAAATTCCGACCAGTTTTGGGCATGAACTGAGAGCTTGTCTCCGTTGCCGTCTTGTTAAAACTTATGACCAGGTTTGAAATCCCCCTTTTTTAATACACCCTTTTGAGATTTCTTCAATACCCATTAATTTGTTTCTGCTGTTTCGAACTTTCTTGTTAAGGTTACGGGTTATAGCCGTGGAAACAGTATTTGTAGAAATGCAGTGTGCAATAGTTGCTTGTGGTCTTGTCTTCCCCCGAACCCTGTGTATTGCGGTGGATTCAATATAATTGGACGGCCTTTAACTGTGTCTCAATGTTGGGTAGGCTGAATAATGTATCATTTGTATGAACTCACATTTAAGAACTAATGAATTAGGGTTAATTGTAGATTGATTATTTTGTATTTGGGTTTGGAAAAGAATGTGCTTTTCCCTAAAAAAGGTGGACCTTTTAACATTTTTAAGGAAAAAAGAGAGTAAAATATGTCCTAGCTTTGTTGGATAGAGTTAACTTGTGTAACTGGTGGAAGGTGGAAGGTATCCCATGGAATCAGAGGTACCCGTGAAAGCTGGCTTGGACACCAAAGTCATCAAAAAGAAAAAAAGGGAGTAAAATAGGTTTATTTATTTCTTCAAATGGGGTAGGGGAAGGGGAAATGTGAGAGGGGATTATACAGGGAGAGGGGTAGGGGTAGGGGGGATTGAACCCTCACCAACAGGTGAAAGTTCAGTTAGTTGACTAACTGTGTTACTAAGATTTCCAAATAGGTTTTTATTGGATGTACTTGTAGTGGGGTTTATGTTTTGAATGGGTGATTTACTGGTAATGCAGTTTAGGGAATCAGGATGCGAGAACTGTCCCTTCTTCAAGATGGATGAAGATCATGAGCGTGTAGTGGACTGCACTACTCCAAATTTTACTGGGTACGTTATGTCTAGTTTATTATTATGTAATTTATCTCTTTTTTTTTTCTCCTTTGTTTTGTTTTTAGGTCAATAAGTTTTTATTGTTAGTAATTTGGGAGCTACTGTGTCACAGTGTAATCTCTGTTATGGATCCAACGAGGAGTTGGGCAGCTCGATGGCTTCGAATTGGTATGTGAAACCTCTCTTACATATATGTGATTTTTTTAATTGGCCTCTCTTACATTATTATAATTTTGACTAAATTTGGTTACTCGTGTGGTATATATTTTGAGTTTGAAACTTCAAACTCTATTTAGAAATCAGCTCTACTGCTAATCTTTGGTATTTATTTAAGAGGCCCATGTTAGATGGTTGTATATTGTGTCTACGTGGAAATATCCAAGGGATGTTCCCTTTGCCACTTTCTGCATGTGCTGTTCATACTTAGCAGCATGTTGCTCCAAGGTTAAAGGGCAGAATCTCTGACACTGGCCTTTTGCAAAATGATTGGAAGTTTTTTGGAAGGGACAGTGTAGTGGGTTCGTGACTCTAATTGGATTTGTTGGTCTCTTTTTTTTTTTTTTTTTATGACAAGGGAAACCCGCAGGGGCTACCCTTTGGGTGCCCACGGGGTAAAACCCCCGCTCCTATGAAATAGCTCGCTAACCAAACAGGAGAGGTCATCTGCACTAGGCAAGCCCGGTGTGACGAGCTCGACCTAGAAGGCAAACCCCTTGCTTTTGCTTGCAAGGGGTTTCGAACTTGAGATCTCCAACATGCAAGTCCCAAGATCAAACCACTTGGCACCCCGAATGGTTGGGTGTGTTGGTCTGTTTTTAAGCTACTTCAGTAGATACATCTCAATTTATTGATTTTGGTCTTCTTGTAGGCTTTTTTTAATCAGTGAAGTGATTATTCAGAGGACTTCTTGTTCATAACTTTTTTTCTTCTCTTCATAATTGATAAACACATTGGTTACTAGAAACTTAGTATATTTATATCTTATTAGTTTACTACGCCGGTATATCTTATACACATGTCTTTCTCTTTCCAATGATTTAGAGTTCATCGTTAAGAGACATACGTTCCTGAGTAAGATGAACAGTTGTCTAATCCTGACTGGCCCCATAGCACATCACTATTGTAAACTTTGGTTAGACGTTGTAACATTTGGAAATTATGCATGGCAGAATTCCAATAGACTAGGCAATAAAGAGCAGTGATCTTGGTTAGACAAGAATGATCTTGGATGCAAGTTTATGCTTAAGTCTTCCAAAATGCAAAGATTGATGATATTATGCATAAGTTCACATCGTATCTTCTGGGAGAATGGCTAGGAAATTTAGTGAATGAGGTGAGCGCCTGCCAGATCTTAAGGAGCTCTCTAAATGAAGTACCCAAAAATAAGAGAGAGTACTAGGAAAGATCTGATTATCTGAAATAAAAGGAAAGGATCTGGTTTTCTGACTTCTCTCTATACATACTCTAATAGATTTTATGAAGCGAAGAAGCTCCTCTTAAGGTAGTCAATGTCAGACAACTCCATTTTTACCAAGCTGTTTCACTTCTATTAGCTTGAGATGCAGTGAGTTGCATTCTATTTTCAAAGAGATGATTTTGAAAGTCAGAAATCCTGAATAGATGAAGGAATTAGGTGTTAGCCTGTACCTGGCAGTAGTTTCATATGCCCAAGGCTCCAAACAACGAAGCATGCTAGCACACTGTATATATGAACAAACGAGGTGTGACAATTTGGAGATTTGAGACTTAGAACTTATTAGGTATCCTTGTTTGATATCTTAAAAATGTTCCTTTTGAGTAATTAGAACATGCAAAAAAAGGTGAGAAGGTTCTGGTTTTCTGGACCACCACCTAGATTTATAACTGGCCTCCCTGAGTTGCTGATTTCGGTTCAAACTAATTCTATGAAGTAATAAAACAAGTCTTCTTATGAATTAAGCTTTTGACAAAAAAATTCAAGCATTTGATTGCAAATTGAATAAGTAGGTGAAAGTGCAATAGTAAAAAAAGCTAAGCGGTGATGCTTGTATTTTTTTCTAGGCCATTCAATGAAAGTCTTCACGAAGGGGAAGCAATTAGGAATATGAGAACTAACACTATGATAATTGTGTGCTTTGCTCTTTATGCTAGTGACTGTGAGCTAATGTTTTGTGTCTGTGTGTAGAGTATCCTTTCATCTTTATCCATTTTATTGTTTATTTAGTGTTGTATAATGGGGCATATTGTTAACTTTAATTATTTTTACTAAATATTTGCAGCACGGTATGTCCCTGGTTGTTACACACTTGCTGTATCTGAGGCACTTCCAGAAGATTTGCAGGTTAGTGATTCAAGATGGCTGCTACTACAAAAGTCCTTGTCTTTCGTCAGATGTGCTAACATTTCAAGTTTTGGACGAGTTAGCCTTCTTTTACTTTTAATTGTCTTGTCATTCCTGTATTATATTTATTAGTATAAAGTATTAACTATTCCTTGTCCAGTCAAATATTTGGCATCCTAGGTTGTTAGTATTTGAAATTCCTTTAGGTTGGTGAGGTCAACTATCTATGTGTTGGCTTTACTTAGACTTGTAAAACTAACCGAGTTCTGTTATCTCTTCCCATTCCGATGAGTTATTGCGGAAGTTATATTTACTGTTGGTGAGATAGGGCCTAGGATCTCTGTCTTTGTCAAAGCAACTTAGAGTTAGGCTAATGATATTATTGTCACTTTGGGAGCAGTAGCACAACTCCCTAACTATTTGGGTTATGAGTATTTGCCAAACTAAATTCAAGTTAGCTTTGTAGATGAGATTTTTATTTAAGGTCGCAGATTGCTCATTCTGCAACGTTTAATATGCTAGTTTACACGTCCTAATTTAAGTTATCCATTTATTTGTGTATTTATTTACTTCTATTTTTTCCGCAGAATCTTTGTGAGGATGAACATATCCCGTATGCTCCTCCAAAACGCATCTGATCCAACAAACCAGCAACGAAAACATCAGCAGATTTTGGGTTTGATATGGGAAGTACTCCCATTTTGCAGCATCAACGTAAATCCCGGGACAAATGCTATGTAATTAAGATAACGAATTACTGAAATTATCATTAACCCCCCTAATCTGGAAACTGAACATGTTTTATGTCTGAATATCTCTCAGTTATCTGTGTTTGCATGCTCATCTGATTAACTCTCAATGTATTGATGTTGTGTTTATGTGACACTCAAATTTTGTGGAGATGTGTTTGGAGTAGAAATGGTTTCGTGTAAGCATTTTGCCAGCAACTCTGAACACCAATGTTGCTCGAACTCTTCATAAATATTTATAGGTACGTATCAGATCCTTTGAAAAAAGTATTTTTTTTAAGGATCTGACACGGATATGACAACATTTGTGGAGAGTCTGAGCAACTTAGGTAAACACATTTGTTGGATGTTATATGCTTTAGTAGCATCAACATCTAACCTGTATTATGTAAAGTAGGATGTGTGTAACTATTTTTTAAACTTTATACGAGTTTAAATATTAGCTCGTGCACATTTGAAGTAGGTTAATACTATTACCATCTAAACATAGTAGGGTTGAAGTTTTAGGTTTTGGTACTCTCACTATCCACATCTCCTAAAAGATTGTATTTTATCATCTAAATTCTCTTTCGATATTAGAAACTTCATTAGATGAATGATCCACGCGATGAAATTTCTCTCTTAAAAAAAATATATTTTTTCTTTCGACGTTTCAACAAAATATCCTTTAATATGTATAGTTGTGTGTTTGATATTTCATCACAACATGGTAGGGTAGGACTTTGTCATCTAAATATAAACTTCAAACTTTTTCAAAGGGCAAATGTTATATTACAAACAAAAACAATAATAATATATATACGTTAAAAAATAAAATATTCTACGAACACGACTTATTTGTCATTTTGTGAAAAGTTGAGGGGTTAATTTGTAGATACAGTCTACTTTATTTCCATTTTTATATAAACAAAAATCTGATCGCAAATATTTATAAAGAGATAGATTTATATCATACGAAATGATATAAATTTATTCTTTATTTGATAGTATAATAGAGTTCAAGCACATCATACTATTACAAATGACAAACTTGTGATAAGGATAGAACATAATTGACCTTAATAATAAATAGGTGATAAATCTAAATGGATTTTATTCTAACTTCTAAATAAAAGAAATCGTCAAATAATCATGTTTTATGTTATAAATTTTACTTGTAAATAACGAATCAATTATTATTTTGTACAAATATATCTAAGTTTCTTATTGCAATTTTTAAAAACTTACATTATTTTATAATCGACCTAAATTTCTTTCATACATTAGTATTTAAACTATATAAAATTGATATAATAATAGTTTATCATCTAAATTTATTGATTTGATACTTTAGCCCCTAATTTTTATGCTATCATTAAATTATATTATCAACTTTTCTTGATAAATTTAATGCTTTATCATGCTATCATAGTGAAATTGTGTTTCACAATTTAAATTCTAGAAATTTATGCAATTTGTCATCCTATTTATGAACCTAATATTTTCAAGTAACAAATCATATCTTGCAAAAAAAAGAAAAAGAAAAAGGAAGCAATAAATTCAACATTTAATTAGAAGTAATAAAAAAATAAAATAAAATTGTATTCTACAAAACAAAATGTGGTTGGAATATATAATAAATAAATAAATAAATAAAGAATTCTGTCTTTTGGGGGATGGAGGAGTCCATCAGGACTAGAAAGCACTATAATTGAGTAAAATAAGTATATAATATATTAGGAAAAAAGTCTCAAATATATCGGTATTTCGATAGTAATTGCTGTAATAGTATCGAACTTTCAAGACGATCTTTACCTCCTTCATAATTTAGCAGTTTAAAAGATATATGTTTATATAAACACATTATTATTTATAATTATGCAATATTTTTATGTCCACTTGAACATATATATACTTTTAAAATATACTGATTCTTAAATATTGCATGAGAGCAAAAGGTCATTTCCAAATTTGATATCGTTATAGCAAATTTCGATCAAGTTCAAATATATTTCAATTTTCTTTTCCTAATAGTTACAACACAATAAATTCTCCGAATATGAATTTTTAGTATCTTCTTATTCAGGAGCGAAGTTACCTTTGGTACAAGGGGTTCATCCGAATTCTCTTTAATGAAAAATTATACTATTTATATATGATTAAAATAATATTTTATGTATATATAATAGATATCGAACTCCATTCAATTACTCGATATATCTATTTTTATGAATTTTGAATTTTCTAATTAAAAATCCTGGCTCCGCTTTCTTATTCTATATATTAATTAATTCAACTGTTTGTTAATGGGCTTATAAAAGCCAAATTAAGAGGCCACGTATAGTGTCCGTATGGGCCCAACAAAGCCCATTGGACCACGTGGAACACATGTCAGTATCAATAGTACAAAAGTATCTTATATTCCATTACTTTTTTAAAAATTAAACATTTATAATTAATTTAAATAGAAATCAAATATATTTTTAATTATATATATGATGGTCTAGAATTTAAAAACGTTAAATTAATAAAGTATCAATATTTAATATGCTAAATTTATAAGATCAAAAATTACAATCAAATAAAATTTAAAAATAAAATATTTACAAAATAGCTTGTTGATTTTCGATATGAAATTTATAATAGTATAATTGTAATTTCTAATCTGAATACTAAATAATTTATAAATATTTAAAATCCTAAATTTAAAATAATGTATCTAAGTATTAAGAATATATTAACAAAGTAAATTATTATTAATATTTTCTATATTTATTTAATTCGAACTCGATTTGACTTTTTTTGGTGACCTAATCAAATTATCAATATTCTATACTTATATAATAAAGGATAAAAGAGTAAATATATTTCATACTTTAGTGATTAGAACATATAATAACAAACAATAACTCACATTTATATTTCTTGGAGAATAAGAAAGGCACTTTTTAATTTGAAATGATATTTAAAAAAGAATTTTTTTTAAAATTTATGATTTTAAAATAATTTTTAAATATTTACACTATTATAAATATTTTTTAATTATAATAAATAATAATTTTTTTAGTAACAGACTAGATAGTAAAATATATATTTATATTTCTTGGAGAATAAGAAAGGCACTTTTTAATTTGAAATGATATTTTAAAAAAGAGTAATTTTTAAAATTCGTGATTTTAAAATAATTTTTAGATATTTACACCATTATAAATTATTTTTAATTATAATAAATAATATTTTTTTTAAATAACAGACTCAAAAGAAAAATATATATTTATATTTCTTGGAGAATAAGAAAGACACTTTTTAATTTGAAATGATATTTCAAAAAAGAGTAACTTTTAAAATTCACGATTATAAAATAATTTTTATATATTTACACTATTATATATTATTTTTAATTAAAATAAATAATTTTTTATTTTAATAACAGACTAAAAATAAAAATACGTCGAACGCGAAGCCGAAGTAATTGAAAGGGCATTTTGTATAGGCTACAGTCAACATCGGTCACTTGTATTCAGCCCACCGTTTAACAAGCATCTTTTTCTTATTATACATGTCGCCTCTCTCTGTTTAGCACTTTTGCTACTTATCCCTATAAGTATAAAAGCAAATAGTTGTGTTTTGTGTGTAGTTTTAGACCTTGTAGTTGAATCTGGCAAAAGCACAACAAACAGTAGAAGTAAAATCTTGAAGGGGTGTTGTAGTTTGATCTGTGACTTTTGTAGTGACTGGTGAGGACCCTTTTCCCCCATTTTTTTTGAGTATGTTATATTTGTGCAAATCTATGATTTGTTGTAAAGTTATCTTTTTGGTCATTTGGGTATGTGATTTAGTGTTGTTTTTGTTGATCTGTAGCTTCTCCTGGTGACTGGTGAGAACTTTTTTTTTTTGGGGCTTATGTTATGCTTCTATGACTTGTGTAAATCTTTGTTTTGTTGTAAAGTTTTCTTTTTTAAGTGATTTTGGTCATTTGGGTATGTGATTTAGTGTTCTTTTTGTTGATCTGTAGCTGCTCTGGTGACTGGTGAGAACCCTTTGTTTTTTTTTTTTTGCTAGGTTATGTTTCTAAGACTTGCGCAAATTTTTGGTTTGTTGTGAAGTTTTCGTTTTGGTGATTTTTTTCTTGTTTTTGGTCATTTGGGTATTTGATTTAGTGTTCCTTTTGTTGATCTGTAGCTTTTCTGGCTACTGGTGAGAACATGCTTCGATGACTTGTGCAAATCATTGGTTTGTTGTAAAGTTGCTTTTTTTGGTGATTTTTCCTTGTTTTTGGTCATTTGGGTAGTTGATTTTGTGTTCTTTTAGTTGATCTGTAGCTTCTCTGGTGACTGGTGAGAACCCCCTTTTTTGTTTGTTTGGCTGTGTTATGCTTCTAAGACTTGTGTAACACCTTGGTTTATTCTAAAGTTTAGAAATTTTTGGTGTTTTCTTGATTTTGGTCATTTGGGTATTTGATTTATTGTTCTTTTAGTTTGTCTGAAATTCCAGATTGAGAAATGAAACAAGTTTTTTGCTTTTGATGAGCTTTGTTATGCTTTAAGGACTTGTGCGAATCCTTGGTCTGTTGTAAAGTTTTTTTTTTTTGGTCATTTGGGTATTTGGTTTAGTGTTCTTTAAGTTGATCTGAAGTCCTAGATTGAGAAAATGCCACGAGTGTGTTTGATTTCGTCCTCGTCGCATTGTTGATGAAGTTTCATTGTTTCTTCAATCCCCATTTTTTGTCTCCTTTATTTGGAAGTCCAAGACTTCAGTTCTATATTTGTTCTCAGAGGAAGTGTTTTGGTTTTTTTTTTGTTATAGGGAGATGTGTAAAGTCTTGATGAAGATTCTTGAAGCACATTGATTTCTCGATTCATAGCATTGTGAAAAGAACATATAGTTGAAAGAATTGCCCTGGAATCCATGTATTTGTTGCCTATATTCCACTTGTATGCTATGTTATGCTGACTCTTACAAAATGCTGCTGGGGGGTTGTTGCATCCTCCAAAAGTAGTGTTCTTTTTGAGGATTCGATACGAGTACAACAACAATTTTGGGGAGTTTGAGCAACATAGCTCGTATGTACAGTTGAAGTTGATGTGGGTGTTTTTATCTGTCGACTCAGGAGCTGCTTGTTGATTGTCTGCTACAGAATAATAAATGTTTGTTCATATTGTTGAAAGGATACTTGGAAGTTCATCTTTGTCTTAAATCAGTACCCTACCTCTTATTCCAAAGTATTTTTTTAATGTGCTACTCAGATCTAAAGGAATCAAGGTCTTTTTCTTTTTCTGTACATACTAGTACTTTTTTGGTACAAATTGATGAAATGTTTGTTTCTGCTTATAAAAACATGATAGAGTTTTCTGTAATCAGCTGGTTATATTGGGCTTCTGAAGTAGAGTGGGTTTTGTCCTTTTGAGCAGATAAATAGAAGAAATGGCCAACATAGACATAGCTGGAATCATGAAGGATCTCCCAAATGATGGCCGTATTCCAAAGACCAAGATTGTTTGCACGTTAGGGCCATCTTCTAGAACAGTGCCAATGCTGGAGAAGCTTCTCCGTGCTGGCATGAATGTTGCCAGGTTTAACTTTTCTCATGGGACCCATGAGTACCATCAGGAGACATTGAACAATCTTAAGATTGCGATGCAGAATACTCAGATCCTGTGTGCTGTCATGCTTGACACCAAGGTTTGATTTTGAAGCATATTTTAGTTTATCTGTTATTTTTTTTTCTATGTCAACTTAGTTCTTGTGCTGATGTGATGGTTTGTAATTTTGAGCTGGTCGTTATTTCAATGTGGTATTTGCTTAAGGATTACCTCAGGCATAGTTTTCTTATAGTTTCCTTGTCAAGACAAGATTTCGACCAGGCACGTATCGAAGGAGCAAAGGAGGAGGCATTTTACTAATTACCTCTGAGCATCCCCCCTTCCCGGGAGAATTAAGTTTCTCAAACTGGAAGAGTAGCTTCTCTAATCGATTCAGGCAAGGGGTGTTGATGTAGTCGAGAGAGATATTCTCAGTTCTCTTTTGTGGTTATTATATATTCCTGACATGGAGGATGAAAGTCCCAACTCTTTAGTCTCAAGAAGGGCCAGATTTCCTACGTAGTTCAGAAGGGTGTTATGATCTTGTTGTATGTGGTAGTAATCAATGGCCTTCCTTTAGTGATGGAGAAGTGCAATATTTTGATTGGGTTAGTCTTTGTTAACCACAAGATAATAAGTTTGTTCAATAGTAGTTATTTGTAGAAAAGTGAGTAAGCTGAGGTAATCTGGTGCACTCCAAACTTAAAATTGTGTAATGTGAGGTGGATCAGATTGTTGACAGCTTGAATAACACATGCTAAGGTTCACTTTCCTCTGTTTAACAAAGTATGATGTTTTTTTTTTGTGGCTATTTTTCCGGGTATGAGCTACCGAAGCCGCCAACAAACTTTCTTAGCTTTCTCCTCATTTTGCTAGATAATTAAGTGAAGACTTTGATCTTTTATTTACTATGACGTTTTGGTAATTTATAAGACTTGACTTGGAATCATTGAATGGGGCAACATTTTTATTCTCTATTTCCGTTTCTAGCAACTGCTGTTTTGTTTATGATTCTCGTTGGTTAATGAATATGATCTTAGAATGCTGCTGTCATAACAAGTCAAGAGTAGTGGTTAAGACCTTCCGTTTATTCTGCATGTACAACTATTCTGCAGCTTCAGTTTTGCTTCCTTGATGTTGGACTAACATACGTTTTTTATGCAGGGTCCTGAGATTCGTACTGGTTTCTTAACAGATGGAAAACCGATTCAGCTTAAGGAAGGTCAAGAAATCACTGTATCCACAGACTATACCATAAAAGGAAATGAAGAAATGATCTCAATGAGCTATAAGAAGTTGGTAGTGGACTTGAAGCCCGGCAATACCATCTTGTGTGCAGATGGTACCATAACCCTTACTGTTTTGTCATGTGATCCACCGTCTGGAACGGTGAGATGTCGCTGCGAGAATACTGCCACCTTAGGAGAGAGGAAGAATGTAAACCTTCCAGGTGTGGTTGTGGACCTTCCAACACTTACAGAGAAGGATAAAGAAGATATACTAGAGTGGGGTGTTCCTAATAACATTGATATGATAGCGCTTTCGTTTGTGCGTAAGGGTTCAGATCTTGTCAATGTTCGCAAGGTTCTTGGTCCACATGCCAAGCGCATTCAACTAATGTCAAAGGTATGCAGAGTAATTTAGTCTGTGTAGTTTAGTATGGTTGAATTTTGAAGCATATGAATTGTTTAGGAGAGAAGAACATAATACTTGGCAATGGATTGGTGTTTTCTAGACTGTTACTTCTTCCTGAACGTGTCTTTTTTCATTTATCATTCCCTTTCTCTGTTTTGTTTTTTTTTGGAGAATTTGGGATAGATTTTGGTATGGTCTGTTGTTCAATGAGGGGACTGACTCCATTGTACAAACATTTGAGTGCTGACTAGTTTTATGTTATACACTGATGTTTTGATCTTCTGAAATTGTCTTGAAGGTTGAAAACCAAGAAGGGGTCATCAACTTTGATGAAATCCTTCGTGAGACAGATTCTTTTATGGTTGCTCGAGGTGATCTCGGAATGGAAATTCCAGTTGAGAAGATTTTCTTGGCTCAGAAAATGATGATATACAAGTGTAATCTTGCTGGCAAAGCTGTGGTAACTGCCACTCAGATGCTTGAATCAATGATCAAGTCTCCACGACCCACCCGTGCTGAGGCTACTGATGTGGCTAATGCTGTCTTGGATGGCACTGATTGTGTTATGTTAAGTGGGGAGAGTGCAGCTGGTGCTTATCCTGAGCTGGCGGTAAAAATCATGTCACGAATCTGCATTGAAGCAGAGTCTTCACTTGACAACGAGGCTATCTTCAAGGAAATGATCAGGTGTACCCCATTGCCAATGAGCCCATTGGAGAGTCTTGCATCATCAGCTGTCCGCACGGCTAACAAAGCTAGAGCAAAGCTCATTGTTGTCCTGACACGTGGCGGGAGTACAGCAAAGCTGGTTGCCAAGTATAGGCCTGCAGTTCCTATTCTGTCAGTAGTCGTGCCTGTTTTGACTACAGACTCTTTCGATTGGTCCATCAGTGACGAGACCCCAGCTAGACACAGTTTGGTATATAGGGGCTTGATTCCACTTCTTGGTGAAGGTTCCGCAAAGGCCACTGATTCTGAATCAACTGAGGTAATCCTTGAAGCTTCCCTGAAGTCTGCTGTAACGAAAGGGCTATGCAAACCTGGTGATGCTGTCGTTGCACTTCATCGTATTGGTTCTGCATCCGTTATCAAGATTTGCATCGTGAAGTAATCGTCATGTCACGTAACATACAATTCTTGAACTCCCCCACACCTGAGCTCAGACTGATTTTCATTTATGCTTTTCTGGTCTTGATTATGCATTATCAATATGCTGATTATGTCACTTTGTGTTAGGATATCTAGTATTATCACCAAGGATTACTATATTTCATGTCTGCTTCAAACATTGGGTTTAAAATAAATATTCCTCTGGTGCAGCAATATCCTGATTTACATTGTTCCAATGGTTCTTTCATTTTAGATATCAGTGATAATTGCTATACTATTATCTGTTCCTATATTTATAAAACTCTATTTACCTTATAACAAGTTAAATACGAGGATTATGATAGGAGGTCAGTATGTAATTGTGTGTTCGTATAAATTTTTTGATCAGGTCTTGTTTTTCAGTGTTAGTGTCTTTTTGGTTATCGTATTACTTGTTGTTGCTATTATTGTTTTTCCACTTGTTTACTGTATTTATTTCACGTGCTTGACTTTTTAATAGGCTCTATTTGAATCGCGAGTCTATTAAATCTTTTAATCAGTTTAGTTCTCTTGTTTTTCAGTTTTAGTGTCTTTTTGGTTTTCGTATTACTTGTTATTTGCTATTATTGTTTCTCCACTTGTTTACTATATTTATTTCACGTGCTTGCTTTTTTTAATAGGTTCTATTTGAATCGAGAGTCAATTAAATTTTTTAATCAGTTTAGTTGTCTTGTTTTTCAGTGTTAGTGTCTTTTTGGTTATTGTATTACTTGTTGTTTGCTATTATTGTATTTTTTAATAGGCTCGATTTGAATCGAGAGTCTATCGAAAGCCACTTTTAAAATAAAATCCCACTTGTTGGCCTTATTTATCATCGAAAAAAAAGAGTTATTGTCCTAATGATAAATATCGTCTAATATTCCAAAAGTTACCCTTTACAGCATTAATTATTGATATAATTAAATTAAGACAAAAATCTTGAAGTATATTCTCGTGTTCATTTTTGATTGTCATAATTTTTCTTTTTAAAATTATATTATAAGAATTTTGATTGATATATTTTTCATCATATTGATATAAAATAAGTACAATTTATGATACTTTTCGTATATTTTCTGAATGTCTAATTTTTTTGTTTAAATATCAAAATAACGTGAACTTTTTTGAATTGGCTTGAAAAATAGTTTTTAAATAAAAAATCAAAAACTCAGCTTATATACTTTTTAAAGTAAAAATAAATAAATAAGGGAGACCTATCAATTTAGTCCATCGATGGCGCGAAATGTCTAATGAGTCGAACCAACTCGAAATCAAACTAACCCACATTGACAGCATAGTTGGGCTCGACTATTAATAAGTCGAACCCATACAAGTCCATTTGGGTGCTAGTAAACTTGGACAGATAAACTCGATAAAATCTGATTAGATATTATCACCTATCATACGGTTTTCTAACTTAACTTCTTTTTCTGACCGTTCCGCTCTGTCGATCGATGATAGTATAAGAGATCTGTAATATGATAGTAAATATAGACTTGATTACACTAATCAAATCCTAAAAAAATAAAAATCAAACCAGATCCAATTTAGTAATGTCACATCATGTTTTTAATTTTCAGTATCGTAAAAATATTCAAAGCATAAAGACAAGATATTTTCTAAAAACGTGGATTGTATCATCATTGTCTCCTTCAATGGATGAGTTAGTCTGTAGTCAACAGCTCTTATAAAAACCAGTACACTGAAACACCAAAAAGAATCACAAAAAAAAGTGTAGATTTCAACAAATTAGGATCAAAATTCAGCTAATGGAGTTAAGATTAGGGATTAAGCTGATACTTGCATTATGTCTACTGATATCCGCCGAGTATGGCGGTTACTCCCACCGGACGACGGCGGAAATGCGGTGGCCGGAACGGAAGCAGCGAAAAGTGAAAGAGGATTTATTTGTAAAACGACGTAGTTTGCTCAATAATGGACTCGGCTCCACTCCTCCTATGGGGTAAAGAAAAAAAATCATAAACCAAATTTGATTATTTAGAATTTTTTTCTTAATTATTGTTATTTTTAATCTTTAATCATGTTGTATGATGACGTGGCATGTAATCATTCTGGTATTTAAATTTTAAATTTGATGGATTAGCCTCTAAATCTGATTTTAAAAATTAATTTTGGTAAAAAAAAATTTCAAGTTTCGTGTCTAAAAAGTTAGATTCAGTTGAACGTGTAGTAAAGGGCGCGGTAGTGATTTGCATACATTTGGAGAAAATCCTAGATCCGTGTTGTGTTTGTTCTTTATTATGATGGATTTTGTTCTGATAGATTTGTATAGATTATCGAGGACATAACTTTAGATAGGAGAATGTGGAGGTCGCAGACTAAGATAGATGGTTAGTAGATAGTTGAGCGTTGATTCACTTTCGTGTGAGTTTGGAGCACCATACATGCTTCTCATTTCGTACAAGTAGTATTAGTATTATTCTCGTAGTTCTTTGATTTCTGTTAATATATGTTTTGTTTTATTTTGTTGTTGTTATTGTCCTTTTCTTTCCGAATGATACATTATGCTTTCCATATTAATTGTCTATTTTCGTATTTTTTGTTTCTTAAACTACTTTGAATTGCTATCCTTGAGCTAAAGGCCGATCAGAAACCTTTCTACCCCATACACACTAACCTCTCCAGATCCCACATGTGAAATTATATTGGATATGTTATTTTTTTGCACGGTCAGTTAATCTGTTTAGGTTTCGGCGATTTTAACTAACAATAGCAAAATTTGTGTTTCAGGTGGAGTAGTTGGAATCATTTTGCCTGCAACATTGATGAGAAAGTCATAAGAGAAACTGGTAACTGTATTTGTTTTATTTAACAATCACACATTCATATTCATCTGTATATTATTGAACGTTTGTTTTGATTGACAGCCGATGCGTTGGTTTCAACTGGTCTTGATAAGCTCGGATATAAGTATGTTAACATAGGTACGTCTTTGACTTAAGATCGATGTAGATTTAGTCATCGTGTGTGAATCTCTTATGATATACCCAACTTTCAAGATTTTGTTTTCGATATCCTGTACGTAGATGAGAATGTAACACTAGCTAGCACCAACGACTTATAAGCTCGATCCATATCTGCATCTGATCATGCTGTTACAGTAGTTACTAATATCATGTGTTTGACACTTTCTAGATGATTGCTGGGCTGAACCTCAACGCGATGATCAGGTACTTTTGTCTCAACTGGAAATCGTGTTTATGAACGTTCTTCCTTGCTAATTTGATCTTCGAATTCTAGGGAAATTTTGCAGCTAAGAACTCGACATTTCCTTCTGGAATGAAAGCTTTAGCTGACTATGTTCATAGTAAAGGTCTTAAGCTAGGAATCTACTCGGATGCAGGGTAACTTGAACATGCTCATGACATTCGTTTTGAAAAGATAATCGATGATATTGAATTTCAACGTTTAAGGATTCTGCAGGTATTATACTTGTAGCAAGAAAATGCCTGGTTCACTTGGTCATGAGGAACAAGATGCAACAACTTTTGCAGCATGGGTAAGTATGAGTATAAGTATCGTGATCAATCTTGATTGTAAAACAATTCGAACATAGTTGTTGATAACGATATTTTCATTCAGGGTATTGATTATTTGAAGTACGATAACTGCAACCACGATGGAACAAAGCCAACTGTTAGGTATGTATCTCGAAATCATGTGTAACAGATTCCACTCGAACTTGTCTTCTTGACGGGGATCCATTTCTTCTGCAGATACCCTGTTATGACGAGAGCTCTAATGAAAGTTGGAAGGCCTATCTTCTTTAATCTTTGTGAATGGTGACAATGTCTTCCTTAATAAGCCCTTTTTGTGGTTCCCTGCTCTCATTTTCACAGTATTGTTAATGATCCTATACACCTATTTCTCTCGAATAGGGGCGATTTGCATCCAGCATTGTGGGGTGGTAAATTAGGTAACAGCTGGAGAACTACGAACGATATCAGTGATACATGGGAAAGGTACTATACTCTCTCCGTTTCAATTTGTCTGTATTCAACTAAAAGATATGTTGAATGGACCAAAATGTCATCGGGAGTAGTTAAATACCTTGTATTTGTCTTTCCTTCTTTTGACAGCATGATTTCTAGAGCAGACCAGAATGAAGTTTATGCAGATTATGCAAGGCCTGGTGGCTGGAATGGTTAGTATTTAGATGTATCTCAAGTCTCAACACGCCTTTTCACGTGTGGGCCTGATGATTGTTCATGGAATGATGCGATTGTTAGAACGTGTGACCATATTATCTAAACGTTCACTTATTATAGAGGACACTTCCATTTTACTTCGTTATATTGTCTTCACACATTCCAAACAGATCCCGACATGCTTGAGGTTGGAAATGGAGGGATGACAAAGGATGAATACATCATTCACTTTAGTATCTGGGCGATTTCAAAGGTATAACAACAGCAACATCATTCGTAAATGTATTATTTCACTTTTATATCAACGCTATTTCTGCTCCGTGGAGCAGAATGCCAGTATGTATGATACATTCTATGCTAATTCTAGGCTCCCCTTATCATTGGTTGTGATGTGAGAAATTTATCACATGATACAATGGAGATTCTAGCCAACAAGGAGGTGATCGCGGTAGATCAAGGTACTAAACTCCACAACACGTTAACTGCAACTAGTCATTTTGTTATAATTTATACGCGATCACCTAGACTCATTCGTTGTTTTGAACAGATGAGTTAGGTGTCCAGGGCAAAAAGGTTAGAATGGAAGGTGATCTTGAGGTAACGAAAGTCTATATATAGTATAACTTTTTTCCCTGTTCGTAATGCAGATTGCAGACGATAATCTGTGCACATTCTATTATGAACAGATCTGGGCAGGACCTCTATCAGGCTATAGAGTAGCTTTAGTGCTTCTCAACCGCGGTCCTCAGAGATACGAAATAACAGCAAACTGGGATGATATCGGAATCCCTCCTAACAGCGTTGTAATAGCAAGAGACCTTTGGGAGGTATATGTCTATGTTAACAATTCATATTCTATTTTGTCGAAATACTACATGAAGAATGAGCTCCCTGGCTTTGGTGTAGTAGTAAGAGCTAAACACTGATGTGTGAGTTAGACACACGTCATAGGTTCACACCTCGTGGCCACAGCCCTCGGGTATTCCTTGGTTATCAAAAAGCACTGATACTCACCATGTCAAAAACACACATAGTTGAGTGAAAACCCA